TGCCTAATTTTCCCACCCACCGTTTCCGCTATTTTTTTTCCACCATCGCACCGATAATCCGAGGCTATAACCCCCTCCGAACCCCTCTTCATCCTGCATCCGAGCAACCTTCTCCACGGCTCACTTTGTACCCTCGGTCTTCTCGATGAGTTTGCTTTGCTTGGGCCATGATATTAGATTGAGGAAGATGAAGGATGCGCGGGGCTACCCCCCCCCCCCCTGAGGTGGAAGTCTTGTGGTGTTGGTGTGGCGATCCACTCAGGGTGAAGGAGGAGACTGACTTTTCTGATTGGCGTGAAGTTTTTCATGTGTGCCAATGGAATCAATAACAACATTGTTCATATGAAGAAGAAAAACACGACATGGCAGAGCTAATATTGATCTACAACTTCTTAAACTACATCATATCTTAATTTTTAACTACAAATGCTACATATCTTGTTGGGTAACAATTCTAAAACGAAGTAATATGACATCGCATAGCTAATTACGAGCTCAATAACCAAACTATGTTACAACATGCATGTAAAATGTTGCATGTGTTACATAGCTCGCACTATGATCTTCAACTTCTTATAGTTTACTTATCGTGAGAAATCATACTCGAAAAGCTCCAAATGAGTCTCCAAAACAACCCACCAATGCCCAAAACATCATAAGAAGCATACTTGAGGGCTAATAATCAAAGCATGTCGAATGAAAAACACAAAAATGGCTTTGCTTTAAAGGAATCAGTTGTCGTCAGCACAAAACGACAGAAAAACACTATGCCACCCACCATCCGACAAAAAGCTATCGTGTCGCACACAGAAGTGACACATGCCGCCACAACCCGTGGCGGCAAGTGTCGTGTATACCATGTTCTTGTTTCCCGCGTGCGGATTCCTGTTGTCCACGACTTGTCGCCACATGCTACGGTGACACTTGTGTGGCTTGCCCGGCTTAGCGCCATGATAGATTTGGCAATAGTTTTTGCAGCCGATTCTTTCTAGTATTTCATTGGTGCAGGTGGTCTAATAGAAAAAAAGTCCAACACCACAAAATTAGTGTCAGCGGCTTCATCTCTCTCATGTCTATTACATTGCCCTGTTGTTGCCTCTACAGCTATACACCCTATCAGACTCTACTGACTTTGTGGTTAATAGCTAGACATGTGCACCGTTTAGGTTTTCTAGTCACGGGAGTAAGATAATATTTGTGTCAAATCCCAAAGGAGATTTATTTATGTAACGACCCCGCAAAGAAGAAAAAGAAGACGAAGAAGATCAAGCGCTCGACTAGGAGAAGGTGCGAGTTTTTCTTTCCGCTCTCGCAAAGCGGCTAGGGAAAGCCTTCCTCCGCTCGGTCTTCACCGGCGAGCCCGTGAATTCGCCTCCCCTTCGCCTGCTGCTCCGGCGACTGGTGGCGGGGAGGGGATTTCTGGTGTCTCAGATCCGGCTAGTAGATAGGTAGGATTTTAGTCCTCGCAGAGACGGCGTTTGGACGGATAGCGGCGCTTCTTCTTCGAGTCAGTCTGTCGGGCTTCGATTCTCCTTAAGTTCATCCGTTGGGAAGGATTAGATGGAGCTCCGGTGTAGATTCCTGCCACCTCCTCGGGGCGGCGAGGTTAGCGTTTTTCGTCGTGCGTACGTAATGGAGATATGGGAGCGGCGACAGCGGCGCGTTGGCGGTGGCAATGGTCGTTCGGTGGTCCATGGACCTCGATGTATTTTTTTATTATGTTTGACGTGTTTTATACTTCCTGTGAATTTTTATAATAGATCTGATCTTTTCAAAAAAAAAAAGATTGACTCGACACATGAGGGTGGTTTGGTGGGTTTGAGTGAGTTGGAAACCCAGATCCAAACCGGCAGGCAGAGAGAGAGAGAGCGACTGCAGTGTGCGGCCGCTCTCCCGCGGACTAGCCGGGCCCGGCCGCACCCTCCCTCCCTCCCCTATATCTACGCGACGCGACCCGACCCGACCGGACCCCCTCAGTCTTGCTCGCAGCGCCTCCCAAACCTTCGCCCACCCACGCGCCGCGCCGGATCGGGATCAAGTCACGCTTAGCGCCACGCCCGCTGCTCCTCCGCGGCCGCTCTCGCCCTCGCTCCCGCCGGGAATGGGGAGCACGGCGGGCGAGGTCACCCGCGCCGACTTCCCCGAGGGCTTCGTCTTCGGCGTCGCCACCTCCGCCTACCAGGTCCGTTCAGACTGCCACTTCGTACTACCAGTGCTAGCAGTTACTACGGTACTACTCTTAGTTTGGTGAGTGGTGGCGGTGGCCGGTGGGTCACCGGCCGCATCTTGGCTGCCGATTGCTGATCCCTGCTCCGCCCCCACGCCGCCGTGTGGTGTGACAGCGCGTCGCGCTCGCCCGGTAGCCCACGCGAACGACGCCTGTGTACTTTCGCTTGGTTGCGCTGCCTTCATGCTGTTGCCGACTTATCTTTGAAAAAGTGAAGTAGGACAGTGACCGAGCAACGACCCCTCTGCTTTCACCAAGAATAGAAGAAGCAAATTCATGCGGTTCCTATATCTGATTTTTATGCGGTTGAACCAAGCGCCCTCTCCTCCAGTAAATTTATCTCGACCAAAAAAAAGGGAAGCGGCAAAGTGGAAACTAATCAACAAATTGTAATTCTTTGACTACAAACATATGTATATGGACAGACTTAATATCTATCAGGGAAATTTATCTTAGGAATGGAGAATCGGCAAGTTGTTGTGAATAATGGACATGGAAGTCAGAAGTAGAGCACTATTTGCGAACGGAGGCGGTATTTGTTTAATGGGAGATGGAGAGGAAGAAATATACACGGGAAGGGAAGGTTGACAGGAAATGATCTTTTCCTCTACTGGCAGAGAAGCCGTAGTTGAACCGACAAAGTAGAGAAGTGAATAGGGGATTTTCCATCCGTATGTTGTCGTAAACGTTCTCCGCTTTTGTTTTCTCTCGGACACGTGTCGAAACACACATTGTTTCGTATTAGAAGAAATGACAAAAAATGTGTTAAGAGTAGAGCCAGCCAAAAGACGAAGCAAAATATAACTAAACCGAGCAAATTTTGAGAAACACACACACACACACACACACAAAAAGAGAGCAAATCAAAAGCATAAACGAGAACAGAGAAGAACTATACAGGAAAGCTGGGAAACGAGTGTCCCCCACCTTGAGGAGGAAAGAGAGAACCATCATACTGTTAGAATTTTGTGTGGGTCCTTGGGTGACAAATTGTAGGTTTCACCAGTTTTATCTCCTTGATTCCAAGTAATAAAAGAAACAAAAATGAGGTTTTTTGTAATCTATGAATCTATCCTCCTTCCTTTTGTCTAAAACTAGATGCATCTAGCCGTGAAGTAATGTCCTTGGCTTTTCCCTTCTATCCAGATTGAGGGGGCAAGAAATGAAGGTGGCAAAGGTGATAGCATATGGGATGTATTTACAGATAACAAAGGTTTGTCTCATCTGGATCCTATTTTAATTTGTTGAAATATATCAATTTAACTGATAGTTGACATTGAAATGCTTTTTTCAGAACGTGTCCTAGACGGATCCTCTGGAGAAGTTGCAGTTGATCATTACCATCGATACAAGGTGTTATTATTGACATAACTATCGCATTACTATTATATTCTTGTAAAATAAAGTGTTTCTTTGTCTTGCTTGAGATGGATTGTCTCCTTGATGCATATGTGTGTACAGTATTACCTTTTTTCCTAGATCCCTAATTACTTGTTTGAACTCTTTGGGTACAGGAAGACATTGAGCTCATGGCCAAGTTGGGTTTTGGTGCTTATAGATTTTCCATATCTTGGTCACGGATATTTCCTGGTACATTTCAATTGGTGGATCATGCTTCACATATTAATACATCTCCAAATTGTGTCGCCACAATTCCAGCTTCCCCCTCGATATGTGCATCTTGTTTATTATTATCATTTATCTTCCATACCTCATCCGAGTTTATAAGTTTACTGTTTCTGCAGATGGCTTAGGGACAGCGATCAATGAGCAAGGAGTTGCTTTCTATAACAACCTTATAGATTTCATGATTGAGAAAGGTGCCACATGATATACCTAATGTCAAAGTTACTATTCATCCAGTTATTCACCACCCATCTGCCCTGACTTCAGGTATTCAGCCTTATGCAACTCTGTATCACTGGGATCTTCCGCATAATCTTCAGAAGACTATGGGGGGTTGGCTTTCGGACAAGATTGTGTAAGTCAATGCAGGCATCTTATCTTTAAACTCTGAATTTGTAAATATAGTTAAATGCCAACACAAAATACTACATGGCATGATTACCTAAGAACATTGCTTTATTTCAAAGTGTTCTATCTTTTTTTTCCGGGAAGGGGGGAAAGACCCCTGTCAAAGTGTTCTCGTTTAACTTGGTGTTTCTATATCTGATCGTATTGGTTGTCAAAAAATTTCAGGGAGTACTTCGCATTATATGCAGAAGCTTGCTTTGCAAATTTTGGAGATAGAGTTAAGCATTGGATAACAATCAATGAACCTATTCAAACATGCATTAATGCTTATGCGGTTGGAATATTTGCTCCTGGATTATGTAAAGGTGTAGCTGCTGAACCTTTCTTGGCTGGCCATCACCAGATCTTAGCTCATGCTGCTGCTGTTGATGTCTACAGAAGAAAATTCAAGGCCTGTTAAGTTTCCATTGAAGTATCATCATTATCAGTTTGCTCGTAGTACCATTGTTTTGCTGATATTTTACATATTATAGGCTAAGCAAGGTGGTCAAGTAGGGTTTGTTATTGATTGTGAATGGGCGGAGCCAATGTCGGACAAAATGGAAGACCAGGCTGCTGCAGCACGGCGCATTGACTTTCAACTTGGATGGTAAAAATTATGCTCACCTATTCAGGGAATACTTAAAAGTCTCGTAAATTTGTTACCATTTTCCATAGAACCTATATGTTTTTGTTTCCGCTCAGGGTAACTTCCTGTATTTTAATATAATGCTGACGCATCTTCAGATTCATCAAGCTATATGATTTTATGCATGTATCCTGATTATAATTGCTTTTCTTGAAGGTTCCTGGACCCAATATACTTTGGTGATTACCCAGAAAGCATGCGCCAGAGAGTGGGTGAATATCTTCCAAAATTCTCGGAGAAAGACCGTGAATTGATGAGGAACAAAATTGATTTTATTGGATTAAATCACTATACAACAAGAATCATTGGCAATCGGCCTAACCCACAACCACAAGAGATCCATTTTTATCAGGTTGAACAAATAGAGAGATCAGGTACCATGATTCATCTATCAAAGACTTGTCTTTTTTGTTTGGAAAAACAAGCACAGCATCAGCTGAAAGATGCAGGGTTATCTATAAAAACTGCAGTATGTAGACAGCAGACATGGCAGAAGTATTTCACCTTGCTGATTAGGAAAAACAGCCCTTCTCCACTGCCCATAGAGTCTATTTACCTCTTCCTTACTCTTGGAGAATTGTAAATCAATATACACATGCAATACAGAACTACTTTTCTTGCTGAAGTTCGGTCTGAATATTCTGCGCCCACTATATATATGTAAACTTGTCCCTTGCAAGCTATCCTATCCCCAGATTAATATCGTAATGCTGACACTTTATTTCCCTTTGGCAGAAAAATGGAGTAGCGGTGAAGCAATTGGTGAAAGAGTAAAGACTCGACCGCTGTCCATTCATGTAGCTCCAACGATCTCACCTAACATTTCGTCTCAATATTTGTGCAGGCTGCGTCTGAGTGGCTTTTAATAGTTCCTTGGGGTATTCGGAAAACAATCAATTATATAGTAAAAAAATATGAAAATCCAATAATATATATAACAGAGAATGGTAAGGCTTCCATGCTTCTAACATTTTTTCTGGTGCATATTTTATATTTGAAGTTTCTAATACACACATGGCATATCTGGTTACACTATTTGAAGTTGTGACATTTCCTGCATATGTTGGTTGAGTGATTAAATCAAATAACAATTACTTCACATAATGTAGATTATATGGATTAAGTTTGCTTTATTTCCAGTTTTTTTTTCTAGAATCGTTATACTATGCAACTTGGAGGTTGTTGTACTGCCTTAGTTGCAGAGATCTTTTGTTTTGACCAAACAACCCCGCAGCAAGCTATTTATTCCACCTGTGCGTGCTAGTCTAATTATGGAATATGCATAGGGAGCTCTTCTTTATCTTCTCTTGGATATATATTTTTGTACAGAATTTCAAATTCCTGAGTTTGTACTGCCACAGAATATTGACAAAATAGATTGGCAAGATAAACACACTACAAATTAAATAGAATACGACATTGAAGTTTAAAGAACCGACAGGTACACATGTAAATGCAATACAGTGACTTTTTAATGTGAAAAATAAGAATTTGCTATTCCATTACTTGGTATCCAGCTAGCATAGTTTTGTTTGTGTGATGTAATATTTGCTAACTAAATTGTTAAGTAACCAACCTTGTATATGGATGATGCTCTCATGTAGTTTATTTTCTGTAGGCATGGATGACGAAGACGATCCATCAGCACCAGTTGATCAGTTCTTAAATGACACAAAGAGGGTCAATTTCTTCAAAGGATATGTTGGTGCAGTCGCACAAGCAATAAAGTGAGTTTGTTTTTGCTTGCCGCATAACTAGCACCGTGTAATAAAACAACCAAAGCAAGTGATGCCACTAATTTTGTTAACTGTTGGCATTACAGGGATGGTGCCGATGTTCGTGGATACTTTGCATGGTCATTCGTGGATAACTTTGAGTGGGCGATGGGATTCACCAAGAGGTTTGGGATTGTCTATGTTGATTACAAGAACGGGCTCTCCCGGCGCCCTAAAGCATCAGCCATGTGGTTCTCGCGCTTCTTGAACGGCGAGGCCGCTGACAGCAAACCTGACACAAACTAAACCCGCATTCACCAAGGTGCTTAAATCGTAGTGGAGCTGTTTCTATCAATGCTATATCTATCTATCCAGTATTTGCAATATCTTCGTAGCAGTTATATCTATCCACAAACCTGACACCGTACATAACTGGTCCAGCATTTGTTCAAACGAATGCTTAATGAGTCAGCATCCCTACCAGTATGTTACGGGTTCATGTCAGTTAGCGTCGCGCTGCTGATAACTCGCACAATCTGATCTGAACCCATGCTATCTCTGTTGCTACATTCTTGTTGATGTTGGTGTAGTAATTCCATGAGTTGTGATTCATAGACCCCAGTAACCAATTACCAATGGGGAAGTTTGTTTCAGTTCCAACTGATGCAACACACATTTTGCTGCAGGGGTGGCACTGACGTCCGTGGATAGTCTGGATGGCCATTCCCGGGCTACTTTGAGTGGGCTACATACAGTATACACCAAGAGAGGTCTGGTGCAAGGACGAGCATTGGGGACATTCCGAAGCATCAGCCCTGTATGTGGCTCTCACACCCGTCGAAGACCAAGACGGCGCGAGCTGAGCCATCTCACAGCAAGTAAATGAACCATTATACAATAGTTGTTTCCCCTGTTGTTGTTGTACCGTACTGTGACTGCCATCTACTACTCAAAATAATAATCGTAGCCCATCTCAGATACACTTCTATACGGGCCGCGATTAGTCCATTGATTGTTCAAATGGACGTTTAAGGAACCAGAGTTCCCTGCTAATAAATTATATGAGTTCGTGTCAGCCAACCCTGTAAGACAACGCTGCCTATGTATGTTTGCTACTCAGCTGCTGCTGCTGCTGCTGTATTAGTCCTGTAATGTCTGGCCTTCATAGGCCCTCCTAGGAAGCAATTGCCAGCCACCAGAAAGTTTGTTCTGTTTTGCTGGAGTTCTTCACTAGAGGAGGACCTCGCTTCTGACAGGTTAGACCCACCCAAAACCACTTTGGACTTTGGTTGATTGGTGAAGGGCAAAGTGACATGCCACATACAGTAAAATAAAGAGGTGGTTAAAGCATGGATGGGACGGAAGCTATTGGGCCGCTTTCTTCCCTGTTCTGGGGCCGGCCGGCCTTTTCTTTCTTGTGGTATGATGTTTTGCATCCAATGCAATGATGGTACCCTGTCGTGGCCGCGATGATCGCTCTCCGGGGCGCAATGCAATGCCGTTGGCTGCATTGCATTGATTCCCTCACGGCTTTGGGGTGAGAATGAGGCCGTTGGGAGGGGCTCATCACAGCATCATCCCTGTGATTGTGATGCTGGTCCTCATGATTGCTAGATACTGCTCTCTTCTTCTTCATCATATTCTTTCATTTGCCTTTGCGCGACCCCTTCTTTTCCTTGTCTTTCACCTATCCCCGGCGAGCCGAAGGTGGTGGCAACCGAGGGAGAAGAGGAGGTTTGCCGGGGACGGAGACGACGAAGAGTATACACATTATTGCTGTATATCACTCCTTCAAGTGATCAGCAATGCATTGCTTTCTAGTGCTTGTCTGAAAGCAAAGCAGGTATGGGAGCCAAGTATTGCATCACTCCTGCAACAGGTTCAGCATGAAGGATATAATAATGCCTCTGCGTGCCTGAACTAAAATAGCAACATGGGATTGGTCACCAGACAAAAGAGCTTCAATTTTGCGTTCAAGCATCCTCATATCTAGCTACAAAGCCGGTAAAACTTACCTCACTTGTGGAGTAGACTCTGCATGCATGTGCTGTGTAGTGCATCATTGCGTTCACTGGGCAGTAACTAACTAAAAGAGTCCAGATCAAACGAAAGCGCCCAAAGTGCCTGGAAAGAAAGAGCTCTGGCCAACAGCCTACAGCGCATTCGTACTAGGATGCATCACTGACAGAGCAGCACGAGTCATCCGCATGTGCATTGTGCTACATGGAAGAACACCGGCGGGCGGCGGCATTGCGAGATTTGGGGGCAGCGGTTCAAGTGCCGGCCACTGCATGCAGTTGCCACACTGTGCTGCTGTTGGTCACTCCTCCCAAATCATGCGAGCGCCTACGTGCCCTTTTACTTGGTCTTTAGACAGAATCTTGCTGCCCCAGGCCAGAAGCGTGCCATGGCTGGGTCCTCCCCTACCTTCCAACTCCAGCCACTACCCCGGCCAGATCGATCTCCAGCAGTCTCATCTTCACCCTCTTCCTCCTCCCCCTCGCCCTGGCTGGCCCGTGCTTCTTAAATGTGTGTCAATCATGGCCTCCTCTTGACCTATGCCACCAACTTGTTCAGCCAAGCCAAACCAGTCAGCCCAAGCCCATGCGTGTGCCTCTAGGCCAAGGCCAAGGCAAAGCCATCATTCATTCTACAGGCAATCGGGTGCCAATAATTTGGTGCATGGGCGTCCAGCGTAGGAGACAAAAGGGGGGCCATGTGGTGAAAAACGGCAAGAATGGAGTTTGGTAGGAAAGGCAGCCCCAGCCAGTGAAACGAGCCGTGCGTGCATGGCATTGGCATGCTCACAATCACAATGCAGCATCCATACAGTCCAGCGCGACGCCCACATGCCGACGGGGACCCGGCGATAGCGGCCACCCGAACCACCACCCCGCCCTGGTCTTTGCCGTCTCCATGCTACATACTCCCATGGAAAACCATAGTTTTAGCCCAGCACATGGCCATGAAATGCCCGGCTTATCACTGCTCTACTACCACTAAGCAAGCATGGCTCAGTGCTGCAGTGTCTTGCACCTCTTGGCCCATAATGAACTCACCGTAATGAACTGCTCAGGTTCTTTCTGCAGCAGATAAAGTTCTTCTGAAGTTTACAGCACTTCTGCTCTGCCCTGCAGTGGATACTAGTAACATTCTTCTACTGCAGATGAAAGTATTGTCAGATTATGCTCTGGTAAAAAGTCTCTGGCTGCATCTTAGTAGTGGCGCTGGTGGGTACAGCAGCTAGTGTATGGTCGTAGTACTCCTATGGACCATTTGTGCAGGCAGGAAATGTGATGCCAAAACACCGTGATGAGTGCTCTGCTATCTGTTTCTTGGCACCACCACCAGACCAGTCTCACTCTCACTCTCATGCTCTTGTTTTGTTCTCTTTCTCACCTGCATCCCAGTTCAGCAGCTACCACACAGAAGCAGCTGTACAGATTCAGCAAGGTTTTGAAATTTTTGACAGCATTTTCACCACTCAACATGCATTTGAAATTTGTTTACAGCATTGCTCGGGGCGGCGAATAATTCGACATCTGATTTACCCACTCTTCCATGTTAATGTACAGAATTTGAGACCGCATACATACATACATACATGAACTGCTTGCTTATTTTTCCTCCTCTGAAGTCTGACCTAAAGCCTTTTGTCCCTTCTTATATGTCGGAATAAATATTTGCAAAAACTTGTACATTCTATATTCTACAGGTACAAAAAGTCAGGAAAAAAGGGATGAACAGGCCCGCCGCCATCGGTGTTCATGCGTGCGGGTGTCGAGCGTCGTCGAGCACGGTGTTAGGGGGGTGCTCAGCTACCTCCAACTCACCTGAGCTTGGCGACGCCATGGCCATATGGCATGTTGGATAGATGCCGCTGCTAGTTGGTTGAAGCTCCGGTGCCAGGGGTGCTCTGGCCCCGGCTGCCACCCTGTTGAGTTGTCCTTCTGTAGTTCCCGCCCTCTCTGGCATGTCTCCCCGTTGATAATCCAAGAAAAATTCTATTGGCAGACTAGTGGTGGTCAGGGCGACGACGCGACCGAGCTCTCGTCGTCGGAGATTCCAGCTCTCAACGCGTGGATCCTCGGGAACAACTGCGGCATCATCGGGTTGACGGGCACCGGGAAATGGCGCACGGAGCTGGCGATCGTGCGGTCATTGATCCTGCCGACCTCCCTGCACACCTGAGTGAGCACCGAGAGGAAATCCCTGACCACCATGAAGATCCTGAAAGGATGGGCCTCCTCTTTCGCCGAGTCGCCATGGAAGTACTCGGTGATCTCCTTCACGAGCGACAGCGCGACGCTCTCCTGAGCTTGAACCCTGAGGATCTCGTCGTCGGCCTTCTTCAGGAACTTCTGCATCGTGTCATGGAACCTCCACGCGTCGTCCCTCGTGTTCAGCTCTTCATTCAACCGCAAAACCTCGGTGATCTTCTCTATTCCTCCTGCGAGCTTCGCGACGTAGCTGCTTAGCACGTCGGAGTCCATTGCCGCCGCCTTCTTGACGCTGCTGAGCTCGTTGCCGAGGCCAGCCACCACTTGGAGGCCGAGCTTTTTGCACTCAAGCTCGTCTCGGAGAGGGTTCGCGAGAGTTCTTGGCGTTGATTGGTTGCTGGCAGAGAGACGGGAGCCCTCTGTTCGGATGATCTCCTGCACGACGAAATGCAGAAGGGTTGTCTTGCCATCGGTGCCTTTGACATCAGCCAGTTTGAGTAGAGTGTCAAGCTTGAACGCATGAGCATCGCCCCGATTTGTGCCAACATTCATCCTGTTGCCAGTCTTGAGAATGGCCTCCAGTAGCTTCAGAAATAGTCTGCTGTTTCGAAGCTCCTCACAAGCAGCCTGTCAAACGAAGAATGATCATTTAGGTAATAAAACAGAGCAGCGGTGGCGAGTAAAAGTGGAGGTGCTAGGAAAATAATGATGCTCACCTCAAGGATCTCAAAGTTGTTCTTCAAGTACTTGACCTCTGATTCAAAGTTAGCAATATAAAGCATTGCGTCTACTCTTTTGAAAGCAAAAGGCACATCAAGAACCGCCTTAAGGAACTTTTCGGAAGGGCCAAGCTTAATAGGAGATGTCTCTTCTTTGAATTCTCTCAACTTGATCTCCTCTTCCTTGGTAGGAGCCATCTTTAGCAAGGTCTCCAGTAAATCTGCGCCGAAGTTCTGCGTGTTACCTGTAGAGAAGGCACATAGCAAATTGGTAAGCATAGTAGTGAAGGCTGCTGGATGATCCAAACATCTCAAATTCTCGACACAATGCGGTATAGAGCTCATCAAGAAATGATGGAAGCATTTCAAATTTAGGAATTTAGTCTTTGTTCACCTTCGCAGAGGGCTTCGCAGACCTCCTCCTTGGTAACATTCAGAGCGCGCAGCAAGATGGCGATGTTCTGTGCCTTCTTTGGATCCAGCAGCACCTTGTTCTCCGCCTTGGGCGTCGGCAACGCCGGCCTCTTTGTCGCCTCCTTCGGCGCCGCATTCGCCGGATTGCAGATGAACAACGTCTCGATCATCTCCTCATTCACCCTGCAAGAATTCAGCTAAATAGATCAGCAAACCAATGAAGAACAAAGTTTGGACTGAGAAAAGATGGAAATTTGGCAGGGCACTCACTGGAATGAGCTGGATTTGAGCTGATCCCACACCATGGCTCGGTCGGAGCTGGCCCGAACCTTGTCCCAGTGCAGGGGCTTCAGCTTCGGCCGCGGCGTGGTCTCCTCGGACTTGTCGCCATGGTCCGCATTGTCCTGCAGCCGCCCGGGGAACGCGTCGGTGGGTGGAACGCTCCTGGAATTGGCGGCTTGGGGCGGCGGAGACAGCGCCGGCGACATGGCCTCTTTCGACATGCCGGGCTTGCGAACGCGGCTCTCCCAGTAGCCCAACGGCGGCGGTGGAGGCGGCGGTGGCGGAGGAGGTTGCCCGCGCGTGCTTGTCGGTGGGGCTGGTGGCTGGGTGAATGGGTTTTTTGAGATGGTGTCGGTGGCGGATCTGAGAGCTGGCGGCGTGCTCACGAGTGGAGAGGACGGTGGCGATGGGGACGGTGGTTTCCGGCGGGGAGGCGGCGGCGGTGGAAGTGTCGGCGCGAACGGAGGAGGTGGGGGTGGAGGCGTCGGTGGCATGCCAAAGACGTCGCGCGCGCTCTCGGATCTTGCCTTGGCGGAGCGGCGGCACGACTGGCCGGGGCTGGACAGGAGAGGCGGGGAGGAAGGTGCAGGGGACATGGTCGCCCCGGGCGAAGACGGGTACGACGGCGTGCTGACAGCCGATCCCGGCGAGGGGGTACGGGAGCGGTCGCGCGCGGCCACGGCGGCCTGGACCGCCGCGGCGAGCGTCCGCTGCGAGCCCGACGCCTTGGACGATCCTCGCGGCGAGTAGAATTCCTCGTCCCCGGACGACGGGGAGGACCCGCCGATGCCAGGGCTCCTCGACCCGGCCGGCCCGCATTGCCGCCCCACCAGCGGCGGCAGAGGGCGCAGCTCCGGCGACCCGCCGGAGCTCCGGGACACCTCGTCTCCGGACGAGGTGGTGTCGCTGCTCTTCCCGTCCTCCCTGCCGGCCAGGGTGCCCACGTAGAGGGACTCGGCGGACGGGGCCGTGGACGCGGCCGTGGTGGCCGGCGCGCCCCTGCCGCTCCCGCCGAACTCGTCGCGCGCGAAGAGGCTGGCCCGCTCCGGGTGCAGGAACTTGCTCTCCCCGCCGCCGACGCAGCCGCCCCCGACCCCGCGGCCGGCATTGGTGCGGCGGCGCTTGAAGAAGAAGGCGATGGAGAGGCCGAGCACGGCGACGGTGAGCAGCGGCAGCAGGATGGCCGGGACGAGCTTGGAGCTCCTGGACGACTTGTTGCCCCCGGCGCCGTCGGAGGGCGCGGCCGTGGCGCTCCCGGCGGGGGTGCCGGGGTTGGGGAGCACGAGCGCGGGGTACGTGGGCTGCTCCGGCGCGGTGGGCGTGCCCGGCGGCGGCGGCGGCGCCTGCAGCGTGGGGAAGAAGGGCGGCGCCGGGCCCGGCGGCGCCTGCGACGGCGGCGCGGCGGAGGACGGGTCCGGCAGGAAGGGCTGGTGCAGCTGCCTCCTCGCGGTGGCCGGAGCGGCGAGGACGCCGGCGCGAGAGGAGGAGGGGGCGAGCAGGATCGGGAGCAGTACGAGGAGCAGCGGCGGCAGCCCCCGGCGCGGGAGCCGCCGTAAGGATGGCATCCTCACGGGAGAAGCAAGCTGAATTCCGCGTCCGTGGCAGATCTCGAGAGGTAGAGAGAGAGAAAGAGAAGGTAGAGAGAGAGTGAGGGGAGGGGAGTGTGCGTGGTGGTGGTGGCGACGGTGGAGAGGAATACAGCTAGCTTTACGTGGAGGTGGAGGTGGAGGTGGAGACGGAGGAGTATTTTGGATGGATCTCTCTTTCTCCTCTCGCCTCCTCTACGCGCAGAGTCTCTCCCGGTCTCCCCCACTGCTCCGCCTCGCTCGTCCTCTTTCCACGGTGGAGGTTGGGATTTTCCGTTGACGGTTTTTTCCTACCGAGCTAAGCATTCCGGGCGGGGGGTTGGTCATCGGCTCATCGCCACCGGCGCCGGTTTTAATTAGGGAGGCGGCGTGGGTGGTGGTTGCTGCTGAGCTCGGCATGCGTTAATTTGTTCTCATTCCTTGGCCGTTTCCGGTTTGGTTTAGCAGGGCATAACCCTTGTTTATTACGTACAATTAATAACTACTCCTACTACTGGAGGAAGAGTTGTTGGAGAGGGGAAAGTGCAATGTGGTGTATAATGTGTAGCGTAGTGTAGAACAGAAACAGGCACGAGCGGGCTCAAGTTTTATAAGTATGCATCATGTGCCTTTTGTTGTTGTTGATCAACAAACCAGTGACCCGCGCCAGCTGGTGCTCTTGTTGTTTTTCTTTTGTGGTTGGTTCGAAGCGTGCTTGGAGTTCGAGTTGGCGTGGAATTGGATTGTTGGACTATATGAGAAAAACACTTACGTTCAGACGTCTGATGGAAACGAAACATCGGACCGATTGCCCACCGTTTATTCCAACACCATCCGTCGGTCGGTCGGTCGAGATATCGCTGGAGATATCAGTTCAAGCCTCCCGATTACCACGCACCCACCCCACCATAACTCCCGTGTCTCTATCCGTAAATCATGGTTTATCTGGTTCCTCCCTCCCCACCTCACTCACATATTGCGCACTCACGTATTGGTAGGTAATTCCTAATTTCAAAAGTATGTGCTTCGCATTTCAAAACAAAAAGTGCTTCCACTATGTAAAGTTATGTTGAGATATCATGACACTGATGCTTCCAAATATCCATGCTTCATTAGTATTGTACATATGTTCCTTCAGCCCAGATAGCTTGTTGAGATATCAGCTAGCCAAATTGGTTTCCTTTCCTGGAAATAGCTCGTACTCATATTTCTGGTTATATTCACATCGGCCTATGTTCATATTAGCTATTGGATTTATTCTTGTTTTATTCGTGAAGCACAACTTTCTTCATCCAACCATGGTTGCAATTAAAATTTATACTTTTGTGTGTCATATTCATATATTTGTTGTGATAACAGAAACTCTTAAAAAGAAGCAATTGCTTCCTATCAGGCATGCTTCCTACTTTTATTTGTTGCATATGTTTCTATCTTCATGGATTTTTGCTTCAACCATTTGAAGTGTGTGCTTATTTTATTGTACATTCTGTTCAACCATTAGCAACACTAGTGGTTGCCTCAACCACTACTAGTGTGTGCTTTGACCACTACTAGCATGCGATCCAAGCATTCGCTAGTGTTGCTTCCGTTAGCGCAATTTTATTGTACAATCTCTTACTAAATATTAGTATCAACTAATATCAGTGTGTGCTTCCTTCTTTCTCATTGAATGCTTCTATTGTACAAACATTTTGCCACACCTGATTCCGGTCGTGCTTCTTTATTGCATAATGGCAATGATGTTGAGTATTCTATGCGCTACTCTAAGTTGTCGGATGTACTGTTCATGACAGAGAGTTCATGGCCCGAGCTGATCTTTTCCATGACCACCTTGTCGAGCGACTGCTGCTATCATGGCTATGTAAAATTGAAAATAGTGTGGCTGCAATAAGATTCTACTTTTGTTGTAAAAAAAGGAGTACATTTATTTGTTTTACCGGATTAATCTGTTTCAATACTTGATCATTCTTACTAAAGTTACTATGCTTCCACATGAACTCTTTCCCAAGAAAACATTTCTGTTATACAGAAAGATTGTTTCCTTTAAACCAAAATTTTGTTTCCAAAGCTCTTACAATATAGACTGCATTAAATGCTTGTGTTGAACAATATGTTCTTACGGTACCATACAGTAAAAGTTCATGCTTTGTCGGTATATTGAATAACTTTGTGCCCGTGTATATTCTTATTTTGCTTCCTTATAATTTAGTTTGTGAAAAGTAAATATTTCCATCAAACGCATATATTGTTTCTGCTACACCAAAATGAATTTCCAAATCATCGAAATGCTACCATAGCATAGACAAAATGCTTCCTCAATACAAAAAAATATATATTTCTATTATACAATCAAAAATATGTTTCCATGGCCCCATAATAGAATGGTTCTGTCGATATAAATTAATGCTTCCATGCCACCTAAAGCATGTTGCCTTGCACAAAAATGCATATCCAATAATAATTCATTTCTTATATTTGATTGTTGGAAGCAAATCACAACTTACCAAAAAACTGATAATAAAGAATATCGAGCGTGATTTATGGGAAACAACTTAATGGAAAGCACTTATGTTCAGATGCCTGATGGAAATGAAACAAATCACAGTAATATTATTTTCTTATATTTGATTGTTGGAAGCACATCACAACTTACCAAAAAAACTGATAATAAAGGATATTGTGCGTGATTTATGGGAATCAAATTTTAACTGGCGGCAAGTACTACCAGTCTACCACGTGATGCATGCACGTTTAATGGATGCAACTGTTACTAGGAAGTAGACAATTACTCCCTCAGTTCCAAAATAAGTGACTCAATTTTAAAGTACAAAGTTGACTCACTTATTTCGGGACGGAGAAAGTACTATTTAGGAATCTCCAATCCAAAATTCACACCCTTGGTTTTACTAGCTGATCGGACGACCAGGGTGCATTTGATCGGATGGCCGCAGACTGGTCTTATGGGAAGCAAATTACCAGTAGTCTGATGTCTAGTGGTTTCCTAATATAAATGTGAGCACCTTGGCATACAAGTCCACCGTGAAGGGCAGTTACAGTGCTTCACATTGAACTATATCCTGATCATGAAACATAAGGAAAAAACCTTGAGTCACTGCATTTAATGAGGGAAGAGATACTTATCATATCTTAATCTCGATATAACTCTTAGCACTAGAACCAAGAGAACTAATATTTTCCTCTGCATATGATACAACTCTTTAAATGAGAGCTCTTCTAGATACAATAATGATATTATATCCATTGAAGGAGCTACGCCTAAATATATATTTAATGTAGATGATATAGCCTTAGATATACTACTAATAATATATTGGGACTGCCACAACATCATCTTGCTAATATTTGCACAAAAGAGAATAATCTACAAAAATCAAATCACACGGCTAGCGCCATGGAAACCACATATGTAGGGCTTTCTCCGTTGACTAAGAGTGAACCATGGACAACCTCATGTTATATAAGCATGGAACAAAAACGTCAGAGCGATGTGGCCGACTATCACGTCCCTGACGAGGCCGAGCTAGGACCTCGCCAGAGATGGGGACTAAGTGGTTGGCTGCGTCGACAACGGCGCAGGCGAGAACTGATACGTCTCCAACGTATTTATAATTTTTTATTGTTCCATGCTATTATATTATCTATTTTGGATGTTTTATATGCATTTATACGCTATTTTATATGATTTTTGGGACTAACCTATTAACTAGAACCCGGTGCCAATTTTTGTTTTTCTTTGTTTTTGAGTTTCGCAGAAAATGAATATCAAACGGAGTCCAATTGACCAGAAAATTTACGGAGATTATTTTTGGACCAAAAGAAGCCCCCGAAGCAAAAGAGTTGGGCCAAAAGAGTCCCGAGTCATGTGATTGACTCGTGGACCCCCCTGACTTGTTCTCGACGCCAAAACTTCTTATATATCCCCAAACCTCCAGAACAGAACCTTGATCGAGAGTTCCGCCGCCGCAAGCCTCTGTAGCCATCAAAAACCAATCAGGACCCTATTCTGGCACCTTGCCAGAGGGGGAAATCATCACCAGTGGCCATCTTCATCATCCCGGTGCTCTCCATGACGAGAAGGGAGTAGTTCACCCTCGGGGTTGAGGGTATGTACCAGTAGCTATGTGTTTGATCTCTCTCTCTCTTTCTCTCTCTCTCTCTCTCTCTCTCTCTCTCTCGTGTTCTTTATTTGGCACGATCTTGATGTACCGCGAGCTTTGCTATTATAGTTGGATCTTATGATGCTTCCCTCCTCTACCTTCTTGTAATGGATTAACTTTTTCCTTTGAAGTTATCTTATCAGATTGAGTCTTTAAGGATTTGGGAACACTTGATGTATGTCTTGCATGTGTTTATCTATGGTGAAAATGGGATATTCATGTGATCTACTTGATGTATGTTTTGGTGATCAACTTGCGGGTTTTGTGACCTTGTGAACTTATGCATAGGGGTTGGCACACGTTTTCGTCTTGACTCTCCGATAGAAACTTTGGGCACTGTTTGAAGTTCTTTGTGTTGGTTTGAATAGATGAATCTGAGATTGTGCTATGCATATTGTATAATCAAACCCGTGGATACTTGTGGTGATATTGGAGTATCTAGGTAACATTAGGGTTTTGGTTGATGTGTGTCTTAAGGTGTTATTTTAGTATGAATGTCGGTGTCAAAACCGGCGGATCTCGGGTAGGGGGTCCCGAACTATGCGTCTAGGATCGATGGTAACAGGAGACGGGGGACACGGTGTTTACCCAGGTTCGGGCCCTCACTATGGAGATAATACCCTATGTCCTGCTTGATTGATCTTGATGAATGTGAGTATTACAAGAGTTGATCTACCATGAGATTGTAATGACTAAACCCTAGAAGCCTAGCCTGTATTGAAGGAAATATGCCCTAGAGGCAATAATAAAGTTATTATTTATTTCCTTATATCATGATAAATGTTTATTATTCATGCTAGAATTGTATTAACCGGAAACATA